AGAACGAACAGAACACAGACCTGACGGGCTGCAGACGCACACAGAGGTGATGGAGGTGATGGAGAACAGATCTGCTACAGGTGGATGGAAACAGAACGACAGGACAAACTGCAGCAACACACGAACAACATGTCGGATATGAAGGACAACATACATGCAGTATATAAACGTAGTATTCTAAAAGTTTAACATGTACTTTATGCAGTAAAAGTTCATGTTTCTGAGACAAACGTGAACAAATAACGTCGCGTTCGTTCGATATTCAACAACTTGTTTGATTAAAAACATTCAAGTTCACATAAACGGAGAAAACAAACATTAAAAGGTTTAATTATGTCACGTCAGCTTAACGTACTTGTGTTGAGCCAACGTGATTTATTGGAGTTGAGTCAACTTAGTTTTGAGGGTTTGGTTCAGATTACCGTAATGTCTGGACTATAAGGCGCTACTTTCTTCACACGCTTTGAACAACGATGCGGTTAATTTATGGATTTTTATGAGTTTTCCTCGAGACCAAAGTGACGCTGAGAGACAGAGAGACTGAGGAAGTGATTCTGAGTTTTATTTCCTTAACCAGACGTGTTACAGGAAGTGTTCAGAAAAAAGCCTCTACGGTACGTATCTGTGTATGTTACCGCTACGCGTTTAATTAAAGGTTAAAACATCTTTCTGTGTAAATGTCTCATGTTCCAACATGGACACCTGCAGCTTAGAGACACCTGCAGCCTGGAGATGTGCACACCTGGTTTCCTGTTTAAAGTCAGTGGGTGGGGCTTATATTCAGGTGCGCTCATAGTCTGGAATTTACGGTAATTTAGTCACATTGGTCCATTTTGTTGAAACTAAACCATTGATGCGACACATGTTCTGCTCATTCTCACACAATATAAAACCTTTACGTTGGTTGAACCTAAAACACGACTGTCGGATCGTTTTCTTTTTAAATGAACTCAGAGATGCCACATCACGATGAAGCAGCAACAGTCGGTCATTCGTCCAAATGTGCTGAAATTTCGACCCAAACTTCCAGAAACCAGCTAAATAAAATAACAAAGTGAATTTCTGTCATTTACAGATGTTGAAGTCCAGACTAAAGATGATGGTTTTACCCCTTAAAACTGCTCCCTGGGGGTAAAAACAACACATTTAAAGGTTTTATTCAATAAAAATCCTCCCTGTGTGCCTTCAAGTTAAAGCTGCGTTTCAACCAACTGGACTGAATATTAATAGAAAAAGCTGCAAACTCTATTTTTTAAACTGTTTGTCTTTGAGTTAAAGAAACTCGACTTGACATTTCACTCATGACTCATCATTAAAAACTAGATAATTTAAAGTCAACATGAATACCTGCTGATGCTGCTCTTCCAGCTAAGTTCCATCAAACTGCAGCAGAAGAACAACAGGATGATGATGATGATGATGATGATGATGATGATGATGATGATCCTGTTGGTCCACAGCTTCAGGTCTGCCCTCCACCGTCAGTTCTGCTCTGTGTTCAGGGGACGTCTGGAAGTCGATCTGCAGTATTTTTTTTAGCTTTATTTCTGAAATAATCCAACAATTTTCATATTTTTTAATGAAAATGGGAACAGCAGCTTCATGAGGTGAAGCTAACGAGACAAAGGCCACATTTGTTCTGAAATAATGTAGATTTGCTGCTTTTCTGACGACGTTTAGCAGCTAAACTCCGTTCAGATGCTCAGTAATGATGGTTTTTATTAGATATTCCAGGCGGACGTCGAGTCTCTGAATCCTGACGTCAGCGTGAGGATGTGAGCCTCCTCCAGATTCATGTCACGGCGACCTGAACGCAGAAATAAATCAGATAAAGTGAATATTTCTAAATGTTGACCAGCGGAGCGTCTTTACAGAGCAGCAACCAGAGTTATACGAACCAGAAACTACCTGAATTATCACACTGAGCTCATTTTTAGTATAAAAAGCGGAAATTCTTTAATTCCAGCTTCTTAAATGTGAATGTTTTCTGGTTTCTTTCTTCCTCTGTGACAGTAAACTGAATATATTTGGACTAAATCAGACATTTAAGGCTGTTATCTTGGAAATTTTGCATATTTTTCACCATTTTCTGACCTTTAGTGACCCAGCAGCTGATCAGTAATGGAGGAAATAAAACCAGATTAATGAACATTACTAGTAATTGCAGGAAACTCAATATAATCTGACAAAACAAGACATTTAATGGTTGCATTTTGGACATTTTTGACAGTTTTCTGACATTTTAAGGCCCAAAAACTGATCAATTAATCAAGAAAACATCCACATATTAATCTAGGATCAGAATAAATGTTAATTCTCTAATTCCAGCTTCTTAAATGTGAATATTTTCTGGTTTCTTTCCTCCATTTTTTCAACTAGAAGACGAATAGACGCTGCAAAGATACACAAGAAACACTCAAATGGCTGCAAAAGAGCTGAAAAACCGTTTTAAAAGGCAGCGAAGTGCATAAAGACGAGCGGGATGAATAAAAAGAGACACAAAGCGAACACAGAGTGGTTGGAAAGTGGAGCTGCAGCGATTTTCAGCTTCTTAAATGTGAATATTTTCTGTTTTTTTTCCTTTTCTTTGATGATAAAGTGTTTGTGTTGTGGCCAAAACAAGACATTTGACAGAATTATCGGGATATTATGGATATTTTTCACCATTTTCTGGCCAAATAACTAATATTTAATCAATACATTTTAATCTAGGATGAACAGAAATGTGAATTCTCTAATTCCAGCTTCTTAAATGTGAATGTTTTCTGGTTTCTTTTGTCCTCTGTGACAGTAAACTGAATTTATTTGGATAAAACAGGACATTTAAAGGCATCATTTTGGACATTTTTTACTATTTCTGACATTTTGAGGCCAAACAACTAATAAATGAATCAAGGAAACAATCCACATATTAATGTAGGATAAAAATAAATGTGAATTCTCTGATTTCAGCTCCTTAAATGTGAATATTTTCTGCTTTCTGTCCTCCTCGGTGACAATAAACTGAACTCAGATCCTCATTTTTCACCATTTTTTAACTCAAACATTTGATTTATTGATCCAGAAAATAACCTGCAGTTTAATCCTTAATAATAAAAATGTGTATTTGCTGCATAATTACATTAAAACACATTAATTTGTGTCAATATTATAAAATAAAAGCCGATTTTTTAAAAATCTC